TAAATATTGTTCATTTCTAGTATGGAAAGCACTCCACTTCTACCCTCTCAGCCCAGATGCACGTCCATGGCAGTGCCTCCAGGGCCTAAGTCGGATAGCACGTGTCCAGAAATTATCCTTCTTCTAACTAAAACGTGTGTCCTCTGACAGCCTCCTCCACTCCCCTCCTTCCAACCCTGGAAACCCCCGCTCTACTTCCCACCTCTGTGAGTCTGGCTACTTTGGCTTCCTCACGAAAGTAGAAGCATGCCTCGTGTTGTCCTCTGTCTGCCTTCTGTCACCATAATTTCCTCTTGGTCCATCCATCTTGGTGCAACTTCCCTCTGTTTTTGAGGTTGAATGACGGTCCATTGACATGACCTCTTTGGAGTTTTCCCCGCACATCTGGTTGCTTCTCATACTTGATCACATGGCCCTACTTCACTGTTGCAAATACTAAATGGCAAAAGGACATCTTCTGGCTAGGACTGAGTGCTGTGCTTGGAGACCAGGGAGCAGTGACCATGAAATCTGCTTGAAAAGCAAAATCACAGGGAATTTCCTGCTGGCCCACTGGTTAGGACTCTGCTTTCATTGCCAAGGGCTCAGATTCTATCACTGGTCTGCGAACTAAGATCCTGGAAGCCATGCAGCCGGCAAAAGGTAAAAACAATAATCACAAGGACTCTCTTTCTTTGAAGAGGCTGGGGTGCTCACCTGCAGAGAATCAAGGCAACAACATCTCAGGGTTGGGGGGCTGAGCTGTGAGCAGTCTTGTGAATGTGAACACCCCGAGGAGAGCGAGGCCTTGAGTGGGGTTCAGGGCTCCCACCCCCTGCAAAGACACCAACTCTTCCTCTCTCCACTCAGGCACCATCTGCTCATGGAGGCCGGGCTTCTGGAAACCCACTTTTTTCTCTGTCCCCAGGCATGGTATTCTGACTCTTTCCTGATCAGTGTGGTCCCCAGAAACCAGTCTCAAGCCCGCAGCTCCAGCCCACACAAGTGCCTGACTGCTCAATGTGACTCTGCCCTGTCTATTCCCAGGGGACTCTGAACTGGGCCACCCAGAGTGCGGTCCAGAGGCAGAGTCGGCACAGTCCCCTCAGAGCCGGCTAAGATGCACCTTCTCCGGGCCTGCCCAGACCTGCAGGGTCAGGATCCCAGGGATGGGCAAGGCCCAGGGTCCAGGGTGTCCATAGGCCTCCACGGGTGCTGGGCCCCTCTGAAGTTCTCAAGTAACTGTGGACGGAGCCTAAATATCCTCTGTGGGAGCACAGGGCCGAAGTCTTGTCCGGAAAGAGTGCACCATGTCGTGGTCCCGGGGCTGCTTTATGTCCCAGCTGGAGGCAGTGAGGGTCTCTTCTGTGAAACGGCCCCTCCCTGCTCACACGGAGTTGTGTGCCACTAAGCTGAGGTCTGGCTTCCTTGGTGTCTCAGCTGGTAAAGAATCCACCTGCAGAGATTCAAGGGATTAGATCTGACAGCGTGCCTGAGCTATGGACAGAGGTTTCTAGCATTGTACAGGAGGCAGTGGTCAAAGCTATCCCCAAGAAGAAGAAATGCAAAAAGGCAAAATGGTTGTCTGAGAAGGCCTTACAGATAGCTGAGAAAAGAAGAGAAGTGAAAGGCAAAGGAGAAAAGGAAAGATATGCCCATCTGAACGCAGAGTTCCAAAGAATAGCAAGGAGAGATAAGAAAGCCTTCTAAGAGATCAGTGCAAAGAAACAGAAGAAAACAATAGAATGGGAGAGACTAGAGAGCTCTTTAAGAAAATTAGAGACACCAAAGGAAAATTTCACGCAAAGATGGGCACAATAAAGGACAGAGATGGTATGGACCTAACAGAAGCAGAAGATATTAAGAAGAGGTGGCAACAATACACAGAACTATACAAAAAAGATCTTCATGACCCAGAAAACTACAATGGTGTGATCACTCACCTAAAGTCAGACATCCTGGAATGCAAAGTCAAGTGGGCTTTAGGAAGCATCACTACGAACAAAGCTAGTGGAGATGATGAAATTCCAGTTGAGCTATCTCAAATCCTAAAAGATGATGCTGTTAAAGTGTTGCATTCAACATGCCAGCAAATTTGGAGAACTCAGCAGCAGCCACAGGACTGGAAAAGGTCAGTTTTCATTCTAATCCCAAAGAGATGCAATGCCAAAGAATGCTCAAACTACTGCACAATTGCACTCATCTCACACACTAGCAAAGTAAGGCTCAAAATTTTGCAAGCTAGGCTTCAACAGTACATGAACTGAGAACTTCTAGATGTTCAAGCTGGTTTTAGAAAAGGCAGAGGAATCAGAGATCAAATTGCCAACATCCATTGGATCATAGAAAAAGCAAGAAATTTCCAGAAAAACATCTACTTCTGCTTTGTCGACTACACTAAAGCCTTGGACTGTGTGGGTCACAACAAACTGTGGAAAATTCTTCAAGAGATGGGAATACCAGACCACTTTACCTGTCTCCTGAGAAATCTATATGCAGGTCAAGAAACAACAGTTAGACTGGACATAGAAAGATGGACTGGTTCCAAATTGGGAAAGAAGTATGTCAAGGCTGTATATTGTCACCCTGTTATTTAACTTATATGCAGAATACATCATGAGAAACGCTGGGCTGGATGAAGCACAAACTGGAATCAAGACTGCCAGGAGAAATATCATTAACCTCAGATATGCAGATGATACCACCCTTATGGCAGAAAGTGAAGAACTAAAGAGCCTCTTGATGAAAGTGAAAGAGGAGAGTGAAAAAGATGGCTTAAAAGTCAACATTCAAAAAATGAAGATCACAGCATCTGGTCCCATCACTCCATGGCAAATAGGTGGGGAAACAATGGAAACAGTGACAGACTTTATTTTGGGGGGCTTCAAAATCACTGCAGATAGTGACTGCAGCCATAAAATTAAAAGATGCTTGCTCCTTGGAAGAAAAGCTATGACCAACCTAGACAACATATTAAAAAGCAGAGACATTACTTTGGCAACAAAGGTTCATCTAGTAAAAGCTATGGTTTTTCCAGTAGTCATGTATGGATGTGAGAGTTGGACTAAAAAGAAAGCTGAGCACTGAAGAATTGATGCTTTTGAACTGTCGTGTTGGAGAAGACTCTTGAGAGTCCCTTGGACTGCAAGGAGATCCAACCAGTCCATCCTAAAGGAAATCAGTCCTGAATATTCGTCAGAAGGACTAATGCTGAAGCTGAAACTCCAATACTTTGGCCACCTGATGTGAAGAACTACCTCACTGGAAAAAATTCCTGATGCTGGGAAAGACTGAAGGCAGGAGGAGAAGGGGAAGACAGAGGATGAGATGGTTGGATGGCATCACTGACTCGATGGACATGAGTTTGAGTAAGCTCCCGGAGTTGGTGATGGACAGGGAAGCCTGGCATGTTGCAGTCCATGGGGTCACAGAGTCAGTCAATAGGACTGAACTGAACTAAATTGAGCTGTGACCGCGAGGTCCCCAGAGGGCGCCAGCATTCCCTGAGGACACAGCTCAGCTCCTGAGCACATGGGCTTCCCTGCTCTCTGCTTCCCCTTCACCCCTCCCTCTCCTCTGGTGACAGCACCCCCGACAAAGGGGACAGTGACAAAGAGGACAGCAAGGGCCCGCTGAGTGTCATGGCCACCCTGCCTGGGACACCTCTGAGGGGGGCGTATCCATTAGCCGGCCAGGCCCCAGGCTGAGAACCCAGGAGCTGAGGGGTCATGCCAAGGGAGACTCAGGGATTCTGCGGGAAGTTCCTGGACCCAGGACCTGCAAATCCTGCCCCCACCCCACCCCGGCACCCGCCCAGGGGCCTGGGAGCCCGTGTTCCAAAACTCAAGGGCGCTGGAGGCCACAGGGATGGGGGCACATCTGCACCTGAAAAACCTCAGCTCTCTGCTGCTTTCCTGGGGGGACGACACTTCACCTCTGGGCAGGCCGCCTTCTCTCGCCCACAGAGCTGACTCCGGGCCGCTCATCCTCTTTGGTCCTGTCCCTCCTTGTCTCTCTGACCCTCACCAACTGCTGCATCCCGGGACCTCCTTCCACTCACACTCATTGCAGCTGTGCCCTTGATTCATCATCCAAGTCTGGGCCACTCCATAAGTCTCTGATCCCCCTGAGATGCTGAGGGGGGGTGTGGCTGGGCTTCCTCCATGGTTGCTCCTTCCCAACCCACCCTGCCTGGGTCTCACTCTCTCTCCTAGAGAGGAGGCAAAGTTGTCATCTTGGGATGGAGGAGGCAGGGTCACGAGAAGGAAGGGACAGGCTGTCACACCAGAGGGGTGGACCAGGGGAGGAGTATGTCCTGGAGCAGATAGACTGGACCTATGCCCAGGGAGGCCGGGTGGGAGCAGGAGAAGGGAAGGGTGAAGCCCGGGTGGCTGGGGGCAGCAGCCATGATGGGCCAGCAGTGGAGATGCAGGTGGGCTCAGCCCTGGGCCCTGCTTCTGCTTCTCCCCTGAGAGACGGGCCTGCTCAGTCCTGTTCTGGGAGACCCTCCCAGGGTCTTCACAGCACCAGCAGCCATTCTCAGTTCTGAGTGTCCCAGGGACCCTGGGTGTAGAGGAAAAGCAGCCTGCTGCTCCAAAGGTCCAGAGACCCTGGGCAGCTGCAGGTTTCTAAGAGGCTCCAGGAGACACTGCAGCTTGTTGTGGGTGGGCCCATCTGAGAGGAGGCTGGAGCCCCTCCTATATTCCCCCCTCCCGTAGCTTCCCAGATCAGTGGATGTGTGTGAGCAAGCCACTGGGCATGTTCTGAGGGGCCCAAGTGCAGGGTTCACCCTGCAGTGAGCATTGCCTGTCCAGCCATGCCAATGTCCCTCTAAGGATCACGCTCATCCCATGAGACCGAGGCACAGCTCAGAGGCACGTGTGCTCCTAGGTTGTGCCACCGGCAGCTGGCTCACGTGTCTGAAGGGAAGACATGCAGCCCCTGGGCCCAGCCGGATGCCCTGCCGGGAGGACGGCCCCAGCTGCCCAGGCCCCACCCTCTGGAACCAGGCTGCACAAGGCTGCTTGCAATGCTGACGTTTAATGACCAATTCTACAGGGTGACATGGAGAGGGAGGCATGTTCGCGTGGCCCATGCGTGACCCTGAGACAGCTGCTCATCCAGAGAACAGAACCAGAGCCTCTTGGACACTGAAGGGACACAACAGGGTGGCGGGGTGCCCCCAGGCTGGGGTGTGGCCTCACTTGGCGGAGCCCCCCAAGCAGGTGTCGTTCAGGAGTTGGAACTTGGTCGCCCAGGGTTCACAGTCGACCGTGAAGAAGCAGGTGACGGTCTGTGGGAACAAGCGCAGCGACAGACTAGGGGGAAGGGACTTGTGAAGTGGGGTCTCCAGCTCTAAAGCTGGCATCCAGCACACCTGACCTTCTTGGCTGGGCAGGTCACCCTGCCCTGCCAGGCCTGTGATCTCCAGGGACTCCTCCCCCTGACATCAGGATGTCCCATATGACCCATGCCCCCAGTGTCCCAGCAGGGCCTCTGACCTGTCCCAGTCTTATCTGGGGGTGGGGCTCACCCCCTTGTCACCTGGATCAGGAGCAGCAGGGTAGGGCCTGGGAGGGAGGGCAGGGGGGCTCAGCTTCCATCCATCCAGCTCTGGGCAGGGGCAGGAGGACCACTCGGCCACGGAGATGCTGCCCCCCCCCCACTCCTTCTCTGGAGGGCGGGGCGGGGCGGTGGGTGACGACCAGGGAGGGGACATCTCGCCTTCCACCCAGGGGCCCGGACCACGTGGTCAGGAACAGTCTAACCCTAGGGGGACCTGGGAAGCAGCAGCCGAAATGGGATCAGTGAGCAGACAGGCCAGGGGTAAATGAATGACCAGTGACCCCCGGGCTGGCCTACCTGGCTGGCCCATCCTGCAGATGACCCCTCAGTGTCCTTTGGAATGGCGTCATCATCACTCCCCATACCGCCCGCCCTGATGCAGTGTCCATGGCCCTGTAACCCGAGGGTGGCTGGTATGTGTCTTACATTGTTCACGTCTGGAGTTGCTTGAAAAGGACAGTTGTCGATGTCTTCATCAAATTTCCTGCACCTGGTTCGGGCGAACTGCAGCTCCATGGAGAACACCAGGCCTATTTCTCTCTGTTCAGACAGTGAAGTGGATACTTTCTCCTCCCATACACACATGTCCACACACACATCCATACTCACACATCCACACACAGACACATACACACCGACACACACATATCCACACCCACACATACATACACACATACACACAGTCACACACACAGACACACACACACGCACATATCAACACGCACAGACACGAGGACACAAGCACACAGCACATTCACAGGACTGGGACAATGACTTCGAGAACAACCTTCCCTCTCACGAAGTGCACTGTCTTCTTCTCCACTGCCTGGACTTCAGGCCTCGCAGGGTCCCCCCATTCTAGCCCAGCCTTTATTCCCAACACCCAGAGTCAGTCTTGCACTCCAGGCCGGAGACGGCAGGCAGAGGCCCAGCTGGGGGCAGCCGGGCAGCAGGGCCAGGCAGGACCCGCTCCTGTCCCTGGAGGGAAGCTGGAATCGTGTGGAGAGCCCTCTGCCTTCCTTCTGTCACTCGATCCAGAGGTGCAGGGGGGTATCGCCCCAGCGTGTCCCCCCGCCGCCAGGCACTCACACAAAGCACAGGGACACATCCATACAAGGCCACACACAGGACCGGAAGTGCTCCTTCTGCAGAATGCTCTCAGCCTTTCTGTCTGCAGTGCATGTGAAAATTGCACCCCTGGTCGTGTTCTGCAGATTTCATTGCCATGAGAACATTTTAGGATTCAGGACGTGGTCTGGGAAGAGTGTAAATCACGCTCGATCCACCGAGGAGAAGGAGCCCGGAGAACGTGGGGTCAGAGCAGAGGCCCTGAACGCCCAGAGGTTCCTCAGGATGAAGGGCCTCCAGCTGCTTTCCCTTTTCCCTCTCTCTCTGGTTTTCCTAAATGAGCCTAGTTTAATGTTATTTCCATGAAATCGATTCTAAATTTCTAATCCGGGGTTTTCTGTCTGGCTCTTTTTTTTTTTTTAATAAATAGTTTCATCCCCTCATAGTTCATATTTTGCTTATTCATCATAAAACAAGGTGAAAAATGACAAAACTGAAAACACACCTCCCAGAGTTAAAAAAATTCCCATTTTTGTTTTACAGGAAAAACTGAAACTAACCCAATAAGCTCTATTTCCCTCTATTTTATGGTTGTCAAATGATGGTTGAGATCCCTTGATGACACCCCCTCCCAACCCTAGTAACAGCCTGTGAAGCCAGCAGTGGGGGAAATATGGTCCTTACCAATTCCTGCCACGACTGCAGTACACGCACCACTTTGTAAGCATTCCTGTCCGGGCTCCTCAGGTTGTACACGTGTAAGACATACTCCACGACGGCAGGAAAGTAAAGCTCCAAGGTATTTCTGTTTTCACTATTCTCGTCCCCTTGCGGACGCCAGCCATAAGTCACCAGGAGCTGTGGACCTAAGAGAAGCAAGAGCAGGGTCCAGGGCTGAGCCCACCTGCACCTCTGCTGCCGGCCCTTCATGGCTGCTGCCGCCAGCCACCCGGGCTTCACCCTTCCCGTCTCCGGCTCCCACCCGGCCTCCCTGGGCATGGGTCCAGTCTATCTGCTCCAGGACATACTCCTCCCCTGGTCCACCCCTCTGGTGTGACAGCCTGTCCCTTCCCTCTCGTGACCCTGCCTCCTCCATCCCAAGATGATAACATTGCCTCCTCTCTAGGAGAGAGAGCGAGACCCAGGCAGGGTGGGTTGGGAAGGAGCAACCATGGAGGAAGCCCAGCCACACCCCCCCTCAGCATCTCAGGGGGATCAGAGACTTATGGAGTGGCCCAGACTTGGATGATGAATCAAGGGCACAGCTGCAATGAGTGTGAGTGGAAGGAGGTCCCGGGATGCAGCAGTAGGTGAGGGTCAGAGAGACAAGGAGGGACAGGACCAAAGAGGATGAGCGGCCCGGAGTCAGCTCTGTGGGTGAGAGAAGGCGGCCTGCCCAGAGGTGAAGTGTCTTCCCCCCAGGAAAGCAGCAGAGAGCTGAGGTTTTTCAGGTGCAGATGTGCCCCCATCCCTGTGGCCCCCTAGCACCCTCGAGTTCTGGAACATGGGCTCCCAGGCCCCTGGGCGGGTGCCAGGGTGAGATGGGGGCAGGGTTTGCAGGTCCTGGGTCCAGGAACTTCCCGCAGAATCCCTGAGTCTCCCTTGGCATGACCCCTCAGCTCCTGGGTTCTCAGCCTGGGGCCTGGCCGGCTAATGGATACGCCCCCCTCAGAGGTGTCCCAGGCAGGGTGGCCACGACACTCAGTGGGCCCTCGCTGTCCCCTTTGTCCAGGGGCCTGTCACCAGAGGAGGGGGAGGGATGAAGGGGAAGCAGAGAGCAGGGAAGCCCCTGTGCTCAGGAGCTGAGCTGTGTCCTGGGGGACGCTGGCGCCCTCTGGGGGCCTCGTGGCCACAGCTCAAGGACACACAGCTCCCTGTGAGCAGGGAGGGCCTGTTTCACAGAAGAGACCCTCACTGCGTCCAGCTGGGGCACAAAGGAGCCCTCGGACCACGACGCAGCGCACTCTTTCCAGACAAGACTTCAGCCCTGTGCCTCTGCAACATTTAGGCTCCGTCCACAGCCACTTGGGAACTTCAGAGGGGTCCAGTACCCATAGAGGCCTATGAACGCCCGGGACCCTGGGCCTTGTCCATCCCTGGGATCCTGACCCTGCAGGTCTGGGCAGGCCCCGAGAAGGTGCATCTTAGCCAGCTCCCAGGGGACGGTGCCGATCTGACTGGGTAGCCCAGTTCAGAGTGCCCTGGGAGTGGTCGGGGCAGAGTCACATTGAACAGTCAGACACTTGTGTGGGCTGGGGGGCTGCGGGCTTGAGACTGGTTTCTGGGGGCCACACTGATCAGGGAGGGGTCAAACTACCATGCCTGAGGACACAGAAAAAAGTGGGTTTCCAGAAGCCCGGCCTCCATGAGTAGGTGGTGCCTGGGTGGGGAGAGGAGGGGCTTTGATCCTGCCAGCCTGTCCCCTTCTTGCTCCTGGCACAGACAGTCTCAGAGCTGGTGTCTTCCTAATACTCAAAACTCATTCTCATATTTAGTTAATGCCTAAGAATTGAAATTTTTCTAATTACAGCTATTACAAGGAATTTTAGGGTGAAAATTTTTTGTATACATTTTTTATTGAATTATAGTTGATTTAATATTAGTGGTGGGATAGAACTGAGCAACTAACACACACACACAGAGGTGTATATACATTGTTGCTATTGTTGTTGTTCATTCACTAAGTCATGTCCAACTCTGCAACCCCATGGAGTTCAGCCAGCCAGGCTCACCTGTCCTTCACATTTGTTCAAACTCATGTCCAGTGAGTCGGAGATGCCATTCAATCATTTTATCCTCTGTCACCCCCTTCTCGTCCTGCCCTCAATCTTCCTCAGCATCAGGGTCTTTTCCAATGAGTCGGATCTTTGTATCAGGTGGCCAAAGTATTGGAGCTTCAGCTTCAGCATCAGTCCTTCCAATGAATATTCAGGGTTGATTTCCTTTAGGATTGGCTGGTTTGATCTCCTTACTGTCCAAGGGACTCTCAAGATTCTTCTCCAGCACCACAGTTTGAAAGCATCAGTTCTTTGGTGCTCAGCCTTCTTTACGATCCAACTCTCACATCCGCACACAACTACTGAAAAAACCGTAGCTTTGTCTATATGGAACATTTGCATCAGCAAAGAGATGTCTCTGCTTCTTAGTATGCTGTCTGGATTTGTCAAAGCTCTCCTTCCAAGAAGCAAGCATCTTTTAATTTCATGGTTGCAGTCATTGTCTGCAGTGATTTTGGAGCCCATGGAAATAAAATCTGACACTGTTTCCACTTTTTACCCATCTATTTGCCAGAAAGTAATGGGACCAGATGCCATGATCTTAGTTTTTTGAATGTTGGATTTTAAGCCAGGTTTTTCCATTCCATTCTTTCACCCTCATCAAGAGTACTCCACTCAAAGTTATTACAAGAAAATGAATTTATCTCCCTGTGTTATACAATAAATCTTTGTTGCTTATCTATTGTATACTGTGTACTTCATCTGTCTTAATCCCTTACCTCTAATTTGTCCCTCCTCCTCTCTGTACTGGTAACCACTAGTTTCTTCCTGTGTCAGTGAATCTGTTTCTGTTTTTCATACAGATTTGTTTGAATTAATATCGGGGTTTCCACATGTAGGTTGACACAGAGCATGTTACTTTCCCTCTGACCTATGTCTCTCAGCATAATATTCTCTATGTCCATCGACATTGCTGCATTAGAAGAACTGGGTCCTTTTTTAAGGCTGAGTAGTGTTCCATGTGTATTCATACCACATTATCTCTTTCCTTTGGAGCGTTAGAGCTCGTGATGGGTGAGGTCTCTTTTGCCCATCCCAAGGCTCAGTTGCTGTGGCAGCCACAGCACTCCATCCTGTCATGAGCTGGACCAGTGCTGTGGACTTTCTTCAAGGTGCCGTTTGACTAGTGATGGAAGTGGGGAAACTGATCCACAGGAAGAGGTTTCTATGGATTTCTACACTTAGTGGGGACAAGTCTGCCTGCTGTGTTCTAACGTAGCAGGAACTTGGCTTGGCTACCCCCATGGTTCTGAGGTCCAGAAGGGACAATGGCAGCAGCTCCAGCATGGGGGGAGTCCACTGCGTGTAGGGCAGGGGGGGTCCGTCTTGTATCCAGGGAGTGAGGGGAGGGCATTGGGGTGACCCAGGTGGACAGGCTGGAGGAGGAAGAATCTGTCCTTCACTTTCATCCGTGGCTCCCAGCAACCCCCTGCCCGAGTCCTGTGCCCCACCCTCTCTTGCTGGCCTTCTCCTTGGCTGACACTCAGGGATCCTTAATAACTATGGAGCTGAAATCACTCCTGGGGTCTGCATGTGGCTGTCCTGATGAGTCCATGGGGGTGTCACGGACCTGGACGTGGCAACTTCACACCCCTCCTTACCCCTTTGTCGGAGCTCCGTCCCTGGTAGCACTCGTACTTGGCTGTGTTCATGATAAAATTACCAGGCACTGATGATGTGGTGTCTTTCGGATCCCCTAGCTCCCTCCTCTGTCACTGACTCCCCTGGCATTCAATTTCCAGTCCAATGCTCAGTTTTGCCAACCCCCCCCCACCTCTCCTTCAAGGCTGCCACCACGGGTGCCCTTCCCTGGCCTGTGGCCGACGGCCGCTGTCATCACCTCCTTCCTTCCTCGTCTCTGTCACGAGGCCAGTTTGGCAGCAGGGGAGGAGCACCAAGGAAGTAGAAGCCCAAGGAAGCCTGTTCCCTACAGAGCCAAAGCCCTCACATTCCAGGCCAGTGATTCTCAGGCAGGCCTTTTAGAATCCTTCCTAGCCGTTGCAGACCACCTTCTCTCACCCACAGAGCTGACTCCGGGCCACTCATCCTCTTTGGCTCTGTCTGTCCTGGTCTCTCTGACCCTCACCTGCTGCTGTGTCCCAGGACTGCCTTCCACTCACACCCCTTGCAATCGTGCCCTTGATTCAGCATCCAAGTCTAGGGTATCCCATAAGCTTCTGACCCCGCTAAGATGCTAAGGTGGGCGTGTGGCTGGAGTTCAGCAGCAGCAGACCCTCCTCCGTGGTTGGTCCTTCCCAACCCACCCTTCCTGGGTCTCGCTCTCTCTCCTGGACAGGAGGCAATGTTATCAGCTTGGGATGGAGGAGGCAGGGTCACGAGAGGGAAGGAACAGGCTGTCAGACCAGAGGGGCAGACCAGGGGAGGAGTATGTCCTGGAGCAGATAGACTGGACCCACGCCCAGGGAGGCCGGGTGGGAGCCAGAGACGGGAAGGGTGAAGCCTGGGTGCCTGGGGGCAGCAGCCATGACAGACTGGCAGCGGAGGTGCAGGTGGGCTCAGCCCTGGACCCTGCTCTTGCTTCTCTTAGGTCCCCGGCTCCTGGTGAGTCACAGCTGGGGTCCCGCAGAGAAAGAGGGAGATGATGACCAGAGATTCTTGAAGAACTACCCCCCTGCCACCGTGGAGTATGCCTTGCACATGTACAACTGGACGAGCCAGGGCAGGAACGCCTACAAAGAGGTGCGTGTACTGTGGTCGTGGAAGGATCCTGTAGGTACCCTCCCCTGCTGGTACACATCTGTTGTTAATGAGGGTCTGGCAGGGTTGGGGGGTGCTTAACAAGGATTCTCGATCATCATTTGAAGCCCATAAAATAGAGGGAAATACAACCTGTTGGGTTAGTTTCAGTTTTTAGAAAAGAAATAATTTGCGAATGTTTTAAATCTCCATCAGTCTACCCACACATAAAGTGTATTTTCAGTTTTCATTATATTTGAGGTTGTTTAAAGAAGAATGACCAAAATATAGACTGTAAGGGGATAAAGCTACTTACCTGTTTGGGTTTTTTTTTAAAGAGGCAGACAGAAAATATTGGACTAAGATTCAGAAAAGATTTCAAGGAAATAACATTAAAAGAGGTTAATTTACAAAACAGAGAGAGAGAGAGAGACAGACAGAGACGTACAAATAGCAGGAGGGGGAAAGCGCCTGGAGGGTCAGGAGCCACAGCCCCCTAGTTCTTAGGGGCCTCGAGGAGCTCACGGCCTCTCCTTGGAGTCCACATGCTGTGGGCTCCTTGGCCTCCGTCTACATGGATCCAGTGTGATTTTTTTTTAATTAATATATTAATTTTAATTGGAGGATAGTTGCTTTATAATATTGTGATGGTCTTTATCATACATCAACATGAATTGGCCACAGGTATACATGTATCCCCCTCATCTTGAACCCCACTCAAACCTCCCTCCCCATCCCCTCCCTCTGGGTTGTCCCAGAGCCCCAGCTTTGGCTGCCCTGCTGCATGCAGCGAGCATGCCCTGGTCATCTAATTTACATAAGGTGATGTCTGTGTTTCAGTGATCCAGTGTGATTTATGCTCATCCAAGATGGTATTCTTCATCCTAAAACGTTCTCCTAGCAATGGAATCTGTACAGAATGTAACCAGGGGTGTGTGGTTTTCACGTGGGCTGCAGACAGAAATGCCGAAAAAATTCTGCAGAAGGAGCACTCCCGGTCCTATGTGTGCCTGAGTGTGCATGTGTGTGTGAGAACGTACAGCAGCTCCATGCGGCTCCTTCCTCGCTGTAGGACAGAGAATATCCATTTCTCAGCCCAGATTTATCCAGAAAACTGGCAGTCAAGCCCCTCCTGCCAAGACCCCTGTCCTGCCCGCACAGCTTGGATCTACCTGCCAGGTACATAAGGAGGGGGAGGAGGGTTATGTCTACCTCCATGTCTGTCCAAACCCAGGTGGATGTCAGCCTGGTGTTCTCCATGGAGCTACAGTTCGCCCGAATCAGGTGCGGGACATTTGACGAAGACATCAACAACTGTCCTTTTCAAGCAACTCCAGACGTGAACAATGTAAGACACACACCAGCCACCCTCAGGTTACAGGGCCATGGACACTACATCAGGGCAGGCAGTGTGGGGAGTGATGATGACGCCATTCCAAAGGACACTGAGGGGTCATCTGCAGGATGGAGGCCAGCCAGGCAGGCCAGCCCAGGGGTCACTGGTCACTCGTTCGCCCCTGGCCTGTCTGCTCACTGATCCCATTTCGGCTGCTGCTTCCCAGGTCCCCCTAGGGTTAGACTGTTCCTGACCACGTGGTCCGGGCCCCTGGGTGGAAGGCGAGATGTCCCCTCCCTGGTCGTCACCCACCACCCTGCCCTGCCTTCCAGAGGAGTGTGGGGGGGAGGGGCAGCATCTCCGTGGCCGAGTGGTCCTCCTGCCCCTGCCCAGAGCTGGACGGATGGAAGCTGAGCCCCCCTGCCCTGCTGCTACTGCTTCAAGAGACAAGGCAGGGTGAGCTTCATCCCCTGGACAAGCCCGGGTCAGGTCAGAGGACCCAGTGGGACACTGGGGGCATGGATTGTGTGGGACATCCTGGTGTCAGGGGGAGGAGTCCCTGGAGATCACAGGCCTGGCAGGGCAGAGTGACCCAGATGCCTCTGGGGTCAGCAGAGGGTCCCAGGTCAGGAACATCTAGGATTAGCTTGGGGCTGCTCCTGGGGGTCACCCCGGGTAGGTAGGTAGGGTGGGTGTGGCTTTAGAGCTGGAGACACCAGCTTCCTGAGGCCGCCCCCCCACACTCTCTCCCTGTGCTGTTCCCACAGACTGACACCTGCTACTTTACGATCGCCACGGACCCATGGAGAACAAAGTGTAAACTCCTGAACGACACCTGCTTGGAGGGCTCCGCCGAGTGAGGCCACACCCCAGCCTGGGGGCACCCTGGGGGCAGACTCTTCTGTGTCTGAGCAGCTCTGGTTCTGTTCTCTGGATAAGCACCTGTCTGTCGCACCCAGGCCATGCAGACATGCCTCCCTGTCCATGTCACCCCGTAGAACTGGTCATTAAACGTCAGCATTGCAAGCAGCCTTGTGCAGCCTGGTTCCAGTGGGTGGGGGCTGGGCAGCTGGGGCCGTCCTCCCGGCAGGGTAGCCGGCTGGGCCCAGGGCATGGGTCTCTCCCCTTCACACACCTGAGCCACCACAGGTGGAACAACCCACACAGGTGGATCTGGGCTGTGTCTCTGGCTTCAGCGTCCCTGCCCCAGGGCAGCCCTTCAGAGGTAGGTCTGCTGGAGAAGCCTGTGGTTGCCTTGGGACTCTAAGTAGCAGTTGTATGCTCCTTCTCCCTCCTTCCCCTCCTCCCTGTGTGGCCTGAGCGAGCGTGCATGCTCAGTCACTTCAGTTGTGTCTAACTCTTTGTGACCCCATGGACTGTAGCCCACCAGGTTCCTCGGTACTTGGGATTCTCCAGGTAAGAATCCTGGAGTGGGTTGCCATGCCCTCCTTCAGGGGATCTTCCTGACCCAGGGATAGAACCCGTGTCACCCATGGCTCCTGGCATGGCAGACGTATTCTTTCCCGCTGAGCCCCAGGGGAAGCCCGGTGTTGCCTGCAATCACCTCTCAGATCAGTACCTGCTCCCGTGTGTGCGGCAGGCTTTCTTGGGGAGGGGGCCAGTCTTGTGGTGTGAGGACTCTTCAGCATGTGAGTGTCCTCCACCCAGGGCTGGCTGGCTTCCCAGGCCCAGGACTTGGGCAGGGCTGAGGGGAGCCCGGCCGCAGGCGTCCTCACTGTTTGCAGGCACCGTTTAGCGTGGGCACAGCTGTGTGCTTGTCCCCCTGCCACCTGGTCACAGACCCTGCTGGTTCTTTTCCACGACCCTCCCCAACCCGTCCTTCTGCTCCCTCCAAGGCCTTTCCTGACTCCTGGCTCTTCCATCAAAGGAAGCTTTCAAGGTCCTTTAGGCACTGTGATCCCCATCATGTTTCCAAGGAATCGACCCCACTGTTCCCCTCAAGCAGCTCCTGGGAAGGGTCTCCCTGGGGTTGCCCCAAAGTGGGGAAGCTGCCGGCCCTTCATGAGCTCACCCCTTTCCTGGGGCAGTGGCAGGGCTACCAAGAGGGGTACTTGTTGCCCTAAAGCTCCAGGAGCGAGCGATAAGGATGAAAACAGAACACGAAATCTGGTGCAGTATCAGGGTACTTGCTGCCTCTATTGGACTGAGGTGCAGAATCCACTCAGAGTCCAGGTTTTATTCCTGATTGCAGATTTTCTTTGATCTATCTTTCCTAAGACACGGCAATGACATAGTCCAGAGCTCCTTGTTTTTACCCCGGGCCATTCCCTTCTGGGAAATTCTTGGGAGCAATTAGCAAGTGCGTAGGCAGTGTTCATGCCGGATGCTGGCCCAGTGTTCCAAGGTCCATGCTTTCATGATCCCTGTCATACTCCCTTCTGGGTCTGGCCTTGGGTTCTATAACAAGGCTATTATTCCAAGAAAAACATGAAAAATAATAATCAACACAGTTTCTTGATATATTCTATTTTTCCAGGTGCTATTTCTATGAAATTTCTCAAGGCTGTGAAAGTACATTATTAGAAATTCCCACTATAGGTACTGAGGGCTTCAGTGTTTCTGCCTGGATGATGCTGCTGCGGTCAGCCCACAGGAGTGGGGCTGTGTCAGTGGTCCTGCCTCCGCAGGGGGCTGCAGGGCCTGGCTTTGTCTTGTCCCACTGGCCCCACTTGTCCAGAAGGGAGGACCCCTGGGAGGACCCCTGGGAGTGCTTGGCTTCGTGAGCCCAGGTGTGGATGGAGGGACCCGTCGTGGAGGGAGGAGCTCCCGCCCTGGCCCTGTGCACCTCATCTGGGACGGCACATCCTGGGCCCTTCCTCCTTCCGGAATCTGTGTGCTGAGGAATCATGGGATTGGGTTTCTGGCCCAGCTGTCCCTCCCTGGGCAACAACCCCCATACCCCCAGTTGAAGCGAGGTGGCTGGGCCCCAAGCCTCACCCACAGCTCAGGCAGGCGCACCCTCTCCTGAAACAAGACAATAGAGTGGTCTCTGCCTTCCCAGCTGCTAACCTGCTGGCCCCAGGCGCCATTACCAAGGCTTACGGCTGGGCCCTGAGTGGGCCATGAAAGAAAATACAGCATCAATGGCCAATGCGCTACCTCTAGATCCTGTGCTTTGCTCTGTGGTCACTTTATTAATTGCCAGGAAACATTTTGACACTTTTCTCAGCTTTCCCAGCTGTCAGGGTCCAGGCAGAGCCCTTGCTCTTGTTCAGTCGCTCAGTGTCATGTCCGAATCTTTGTGACCCCATGGACTGCAGCACACCATGCTTCCCTGTCCTGCCTCCCGGAGTTTGCTCAAACTCATGTCCACTGAGTCAGTGATGCCATCCAACCATCTCATCCTCTATTGCCCACTTCTCTTCCTGCCCTCAATCTTTCCCAGTATCAGGGTCTTTTCCAATGAGTCAGCTCTCCACATCAGGTGGCCAAAATATTGGAGTGTCAGCCTCAGCACCAGTCCTTCCAATGAATACTCAGGGTTGAATAAATAAGGATTGAACAAAAAAGATCAAGTAAGTGGAGACCTTATCTCTGCAGATTCCCTGGACCTCAGCCATAGAAACAGAGGTGGGGGCAGGGCTGTCAAGTGATGGGGGGACCAGCTGTGGGGCCTTCTTGGCCTCAGTCTGCTCCCCAGGGTATACCTCCCCTCCTGGTCCCCAGGGGCCTAGAGTCACCCTGGGATTTGGACTCTGGGTTCCTCTTGCTGTAGTCAGCCCTGGGAAGCAACATGTTCTTCTGGGAAATGCATTTGTGAGTCTTTCTTTTTTTCCCCCCAAATCCTTGATGACGTAAGCTGACAAGCAGTGAAATGGGTATGAGAGATGAACAGGGACAAACTTCTAGGTATGAATGAGTCACGAAGCTGAACCGTCCAGCATGGAAACACAGTCAATAATGTTGTTAACACCTTTGGAGGATAACAGATGGTAACTAGAGTTATGGTGGGCATCACTTTGTAACGTAGAGAAATATTGCATCACTGTAAGTTCTACACTTGGAACTGAGAGTGTTGTACGTCAGTTACACTGTAATTTACTAAAAGAAAGAACTGAGGTGTTTCTCTCCCAAGTCCTGCAATGGCTGCAGGCTCCTCTCAGGAGGTTCAGATCCCCTGCCAGCCAGTCTGCCCCACACAGGTGCCCACTGCGGGTTCTGCAGGAGGAGAAGTCTCAAGAGATTCACCCGGCAGTCAGGTAGGTACCCACCTGCTCCTGTGTGCTTGCTCACATTTACCTGGCTGGCCCTGACCTGCCCCTCCAGGGCTGCCATGTCCATCACTATGTTCTGCAAAGTGCTTCTTTTTCGTTTGTTAATTCACTTCACCATCTCAGCCCAGCCCTATGCACAGATACACAGACAGACAGAGAGACAGACAGACAGACAGACACACACATACACACACACACACACACACACACACACACGGCGGGAGCCTCCCCTGATTGGCGTCTCCCGGTCACCACACCTCGCAGCCCTCTCTCCCACACTGAACTGAAGTTAATCAACAACCCAGAGAAGTGACGGTGTGTCACCTCTGACGCTGGACCACCGAGAGCAGCATGGCCTCCAACCCGGACTTTCGGACACTCTGTCTGGGGGAAACCATCCGCCTCACCCAGTACACAGCGGCTGTGCAGACAGACCTTCACAGAGGACAGCAGAGACCACCTGCTCACAGCCAACACCAGCCAGTAGCCACAAGGACAAGCCGCCTGAGGAGTGGGCTCCCTGGAGCCAGTCTCACCTTCAGACCAGGGCAGTGCCATGAGAGTCTGGGAGATACCTCCAGAGAGGTGACACCAGCCAAACCACCCCAGACCCCTGACCCACAGACAACATAGAGAAATAGATAAATTACTTGAAGCACCTAGAAGTAGGGTAATCAGTCACAAGGACTAGATCATACCTACCACTCTGTGCGAGCACACACACGAGTACACACACACGTGCACATGCCCAAATGCAGCTTTCTCTTCCTGCACCATCACTCTCACATTTTCCTGTCTCAATTCAAAACCGAAAGTAAAACACAAGTTTCCCAATCACCCAACGACCTCCCAGGTTGGATTGGGAGGGGTTAAAACTGTGTCTGAAGCCATGATGCTGTGCCTTCTGGAGCCCTGGAAGGGATCTTTCCATGGAAATCCATGGACAGACATTCTCAAAGCATCCTCAGGGCCTTGCAGAAACTCCCCACCTGAAGCAATGGAGGAATGGGGCTTCCTGTTAGTTCCACACAAAGAGCTGTCAATGGAAAGTAATTTGTGCCCAGAGCCTGGTGAAATATGGTAACAGGTTCACATTCTCTTCCATTCATTGGGAGCAGACTGTCCCCACTGGTAAATGCACTGACCAAGAAGAAGATGCTACCCTACCAGCACCGCATCCATAGCCTTCGCGCCTGGAGAATGCACAAAAAGCAAGCAGGCTACAAAAGGGAAGTCGAGAGGTCAGATGTGCTATTTAAGTGCTTTACAAGTATCTTCACTTCTTGAAATGCACACGAGAGTTGCAGAGTGGCTAGCTGACCATTAGATAGGACTGCATTCTTTCTTCAGCATCTTGAGTTCAAATTTCCAGGGTTTGGATGCCACAATAAAGGTACAATAAAACATCTGGAAGAGATAAAAAGAATAATAACTCATAAGCAAGAAAAATTCCAAAAAAAAGAAAACCAGAAGCTCCTATTCCCAGGTGTCAATATTTGGCTTAAGGAGGGGCCAGTCAAGCTCCTGCAGGCCCCCAAACAGTTGACCTGATGGCTAAGGAGACAGCTTCGCAACTGAGTGCCACTTCGGTTCATGTCCCTGTGATATGAGGTCATCACAGTCAGGGCTCCATTTGCTCCAGGAGAGCAAGCGTTGGAGCCCAGGATGAATTAGTCTTGAGAAAGTCTCCTGTCCAGCTCTGGACGTCCCCCGCCACTGCCCCACGCAGACTTCCTGCAGCCCCTGGAGACCCCATGCTGCATGGAGGGCCCAGTGGGTCCTTCCCAGGAGAGG